GTCAAATTTGCTCCTTCCGCGTAAACACCAACGCTGTAATTCCGCCATCTGGATCATTGCGGTGATGCTGTCTGGTGTTTGTAGTGAAACGTTCCTATAGTAAAACAGCTCGGTTCTTCGGGATTCAGTCCATTAAAACAATGGTTGTTTGCTCTTTCGACAGGGGAAGGCCAGAAGGGACAGGAGCCCCGATGAGCCCCTGGCCGACCAGGTCACCGGACTCCACCGCGCCGGCGTCCGGGGTGCCTGGAACGGAGACCACTCGGTGAGTCAAGAGTCGACTGACCACTCGGTTGCTCGGTTGGTTGGTTGGTTGGTTGGTTGGTCAAGAACACGAAGGTCGTTGGGTCATCCCCTCCCCCTGGAAGACTGAGCATGAGGTGTTTGGGTGATGGGAGAGGGTAGATCTACTTGAAGACCAGTCGGGCCTACAGAAGACCTCCCAAAACCGGCCGACCGGAACTCAAACTAAGGCAGTTTCGACCCAACAAAAACATTTTGGTAGACCTCACGCGCAATATTGTTCCTTTTGTCTCCTTAGCGTTAGACGCCAAACAAAAGTACGGTATACACCTCTTTCATCACCAGTATTAGATTCACGTGGAGTGAAGGACAGCACATGAGACACCCAAGGGCCAAGTGTGCCCGACACGAAAACCGCGCAGTCGACGGCCAACATGCTGCAGTCCTTCCTTCACGAGTCCAGTCACACGAAAAAACGGGGTCCCGGTGGTCAGAGTTCGCTGTTGTTTCACGCTGAAGAACACTTTTTTGTTTGTTTCGTTGGGGTTTCGCATGGGTTCACCATTGTTCACCCATCTTGCTGCTGATTCTGAGGGTTTACGTTTGTTAGAGCAGCCCATGAGGTCTCAGCCATTGTTTTTTCATGAACTAGTTGCTGTAACACCTTTTTAGCAGAAGAAAGGATAGGAATGTCAATAGGAAACGGTCCTAGCTGCTGGAAACAATCATTTGTCGGCTCACTGACCCATCACTGCACCACGTATTCATGTTCTCTACGTACTTGCCTTGGAGCAAACAGGAGTCTTTAAAGACTGTAACAGGAATCTTGTGGCACTCTTCAATGTTATCACTGTCGAGATGTGAAGCTCTTCAAACCAGCTGGGTTGGCTCAGCTTCGAGGCCAAGAAGTTCATTCAAGATAAGATTTGCAAGACGGACAGCGAGGAGATGGGCAGAGCTGCACCGGGCAGGGCAGAGCTTTTCAAAGTTTCAAGACCTTTGGACAGGTTCTTTTGGCGCCGGCCAAGGAATTTGGTAATCTTTGGTCAGTCGGAATGCGCATTTGCAGCTAGCCACTACAAGAAACGAACATGTGTAGGGCAGAAGTTCATGTTTTTTTCTTGACATAAGGCCCACGGCGAGAATTTACCAAACATATATCTTCAAGATCAATATTACCGAGGAATATCACTGCCCCTTGGTTCAAATCCCAGACACTCCATGGGACTGGAAGAGGACTGCCGCCCCAGCCAGACCCCATAAACAACCACCACGGGTCCCGCCAGCCTGATTGGCAGTCCGTCCTGGCTGGCAGTCCCAGACATGTCGTGTTTGGCTGCTTATATTCGATGCCAGGAGTGCCTCCGTGTCCGGCAGTGGCTGCTTCTTCGGATGAACGGTCGCATCTGGGAACATGGCATCCCATTGATGTGCCGTTCCGCTGAGAATGCCCGGTCTCCCGTTCCGTCGTATGTCGTGCCACGGATGTCGATCGAGTTGAAGCAAAAATGTGCCAATTTGAGTCATGCTTTCGCTGTTGACATCGGTCGATATGTATTTATATACTGAGGACTATAGTGACCCAGGACTTGTCGGAGGTAGGCGAAAAAAAAATAAATAGTGAAACCCAAGTCATCAGGAAACAACTTCAAAAAATACATATACTACTGATTAGTAACTTAGGACTTGTCGGACATACACGCCAATTCCAAAAGCCTATGTCATCAGGATTGATCCAACATTGGCATTTCCTCTTGAGGCCTATGTCATCGGGCCACAACCATCAAATTCATAGAAATATATATGAGGTATTCAAGGAAGCAGCGCCCGCAAAAACACATAGTCGCACCCTATGTCACCACAGGTCCTATGACACCAGGTTTCCCAACCCAGACTTTCTTTTTTGCTCGATATGTCAGGGCACATGACTTAGCCCTGAGGGTAGCCAGATTGGTATGTCACTTGCATCACGTTGGCCTAAGTCATTAGACAGTAGTATAGGTGTTCAAGTCCTATGTCATCAGGCGCCGCTCTACAAAAACTGGCCCAAAACATCCTTTCTTTGGCATGTTTTATTTTTTTGATGCTGGTATTCCACATGACATGGGTGCTTGGCACCTCTCCAACTCCTATGTCATCAGTCTCAGTGTTGCACTCTGGGTAGTATCCCTCTGTTTTGCTGTGGTTTGTGCGGTGACATGGGAGTTGTTGCTCGGGGATACTCCTGACTCACTAGTACCCACTACTCCTATGTCATTTGCGCTCAGTATATATATTAAGCCTCTTCAAGTGAGTCATTCAGTGTGCCATCCCCCAAAAAAAATCCAGTAGAATTGACATTAGCGTGTGTCCCATTACCACTAACATCCAGTCGGTAAAAGATCATCCATATCTTGCAGCTGGAGGGCTGCCTGCAACCAACCAAAAACCAACCTAACCATCATCCACTGGGCCCTGGAAGGTTGGGATATACCCAAGATTGACCTAAATGGACTCTCAAAACCGCAAAAGTTCGGTCCGTGACTCTCCCCATCTCCCTGACTTCGGACCTCTTAGGTGCCTGGGCTGCGAAGTATGCCCGTTTGGCCCAAGGAGGCGGCGTGAACATGTCGAAGGGATTGTCTCATCGCGTGGGCGTGGGATGTTGGGATCCCGGGCTGTTAGGACAGGGCGTCTGTGGTGCGAAGTATGCCATGGCTGCCATGGCTGCCGTGTTGGATCGAGATTCGTGGAGGGATTTGAGCGGAAATGAGTCGACTGAAAGGGGGAGCATACGGTGACGGCAGATTCCATCCGATTCCGATGAAGACATCGCAGAAGAAGATTCCGTCGCTTCCGATCCCGATCCGATTCCAATACTGATAGATACGGTTCACATCTCGGTGTTGAATGTGTATAGCTTTTGAGGATCCAGGAACACACTTCACGTGCAGGTGCCGCGATGCGCCGCGATGCACCGCGACGTGCCGCGATGCGCCCTGCAGCGAACTTTTGGAGCTATATATAAAGCACCTTTGACACGGGGACATGATCCAGAAGCTAATTGGTTTGGATTTCCACGGATTTCCCCCAAATTGGGAAGGAGAGCTGTGTTTGATTCTCAGCTGCTGGTAAGGACTCGGATTGCCTTGGATCGTCGACTCAGCTCACTCCACTCGGCACGAGTGCCCTGATTCACATGAGTCCCCTGACTGGCCGGGGGCTGGACTACACTCCCTGACTGCCCCAGAATGGGCCAACTCATGACGCGGGTCGGTTCTTCCTTCGCCAGACGAAGACGAAGGGAAGGAGCCGAGGGTTCAACCGATCCGACCCGTTGGTTTTATGGTTTTCACTCACTTCACGTGCCCCTATGATGATGTTCTACCCAGACGCGACCCTGGACCCGAACCAACTGCTACATGTTGGTTCGGTCCAAGACCCTAGTTGTGAGGGTCAAAACCCTAGCGAACTGAGGGTCCTTTCTGAGCCTTTGGGTAGGAGTGTTTTTTCCGGTTTTTAGTTGTTTCGTGTTTTTCCCCGTTCGCTGGAGCAGGAGAGTCCCTGGCTAGCAGCGGTGGAGGCCGGCTAGCGGCAGCCGCAGTGGCTAGCAGTTCAATTCATGGTGTGTATGTTCGGTCCACGTGGGTGATGAAGGTACACCCTATGGATCCACATACCTTCCAATAGAGGTTGAAAGACCCGAACTAGGCTATCCCAGTTGGGTACCCCTGTAGTGTCCTAGTTCAGGTCACTGGATACCTCTGTTGGTTCTGAGGTACCTTGATTGGACATTGCAAGGACTACGACTAAGGTGGCTCCATGGATCCCATTGGTCCTGGACTGTTTGGTCATCTCCCTGGATCACGTCGATAGATACCACGTCCCATCCCACCGGGTGGGATGGTGGGCGTAATGTTTCATCGGGTTTGATGGTGCTTGGATGAGCTATGTGAAGTTTCCAAGCTCGTCTCTTGACTTTTTTGTTGGTTGCACTTCTTAAGCCTTTGGTCTAGCTAGTAGCCTGATTTTAACCTTAACAAGATTGGCTCCAACCTGTTTGGCCGTCTGGATCCGGCTCCAACCTGCCATGCCGGAGTTGCCAAGGTGACAAATCGAGGGGGCCTGACAACCCAAAAAGGATCTGATCTAACCCAAAGTGGATGACGTTTTGCTTAGGATGATGGACTCCCCCGAAGTTTGCTGTTTCATGCTGTTTCATTGAATGATCTTTGGGTTGTTAGAGCCTCGATCCCATGCGTTTGGAACATAGGCTATATTATATTGCTGTAGGACCTAGGATTTCTTCGCATGCCGGGGGCACACCAGGACACCCTAAGATTGAAGGTCACAGTGAAGAGTTTGAGAACTGTATTGATTTGCCTGACTCAAAACCTAGCCGCTGCAGCTCCTTCGTCCAGCGGGACAAATAAAGAAATTTTAAACATAGCCTTCTCCGAACCTGTTTCGGCGCCTCAGGACAGACTCAGAAGGATATAGTTTCACCTTAATTTGTTTGGTATACTCTTAGACCATCTTAGACATTCTTAGACCTTTATATATTCTCTTTGGTCCATAAGGGATTGACTACTAAACCCATAAAGGTTCAACCCTTAGCAGAAGATCTAAGGGCAGGCAAGATATGCATGATAAACATCATGGATCAAAACGCATTTTGTTGTTGACAAGGGCCTTCACGCTTTCCTGTAAGGTCCGAGGCCGTCAGCAACGTCCAAGCAATTCCCTTTCTAAACCGAACCTGACGTCCGCCTCAACGGATGATCGACCGTCGCGTCGAGTCTCGACGCGACGCGTCGACCATGGCACGGTGTCGATGTTGGCCTTGCAGATGGCCGCTGGGTCTGCAAGGGTCGGAAATCGGAAGGGGTTTTGGCCGGTCAGTACGTGGCGGAAGGGTCGGATGCACTGGAGGAAGGAGGACATGGATTCTATCCTCCCAGACGCGACGCGACTAATCTGTCTGGGACTGCCAGGACGGACTGCCGATCAGGCCAGGGGTGGTGCCAGGGGGGTCAATTGATTGGCATATATGATATGGCATACATAGCGTTTGGGTCTCACTATGTTGGCAAATCCCCAAAAAGGACTGTCCCACATCCTAGAGTTGGACCCCCCTGGCACCCACTCCAATCATCTCCGATGTGAGGATGTGGGACAGGGTCGACCTAGTGTTTTTGTAGGTCACTCACGAGTCGTGGCTCTAAGTCGTGGCTGGGCTGTTTGGGTATCTTTGGATCTCCAAGGAACTCTTACAATGTGACAAAGAGATGAAAAGAGGGTTTACGATTAAAGGCTTTCCCCCATGTCCAGTTTGCACTTGTCTAGGTAATTGAACAAGCGATGCCGCGATGCCTCCAAATAAGCTTTAACATGCTGTGAGTTGTGAGTGGATTGTGTTTTTTTGTTTTTGACTTCATGAGAATGTGGGTTGTATGACTCCACATGAATAGACAATTTCAACCGTTTTCTTGAGTGGAAAGCATGTTGTCCATTGTATGTGGAACACGAAAGGGTGGATGGGTGGAGATCATCTCGGGAATTCCTGGCCCAAGTCTCACTGCATGATATCCTGGAATTGAACGACATCCCACAAGAACAGGTTTCTCACATCATTTTGAGGGACATCCCCAAAGATCAGTGGGTTATTGAAGAAGCAAATCTGTTCAGCTGAAAAGTTGCCAAAGTTTGATCATCGAGGCACTTCTTTTCTGGTGCAACAAGATACAAAAAGACTTTATTTGGGCTTCACATGTACATGTTATTTCGGAGAACAACACATAATCACTCTCCTGGCATGGGGAAGATTAGTTTGTTTTTTTCCCCGTAACGAAAAAATGTAAACCAAAGTATGTCAAAGTATACCAAACTCTTTATCTCGGTGTTTATGTGTGTAACGAGATGTAACAAGCAAACCCAAGTAGCCTGTGGGGAAAAGCTTGGGTCATGAAGCCCTTCATCCGGCGTAGTCGCCATCCACTGGAGCGAGCGATCCATCCATCCGTGAAACGCGGCAGTTTGAGCTGCGTTTCGTTGATTTTGTTCAGAGCGTTGGATAATATTGGAGATACTCCTTGGACACACTGATGAGTCACTGACGAGTATGTTGGGTGTAGAGATGATGCACGAAAACTGGTAAAACATGTTCTACATACATGGTGGACTGCCCATGGCTCCTGGGCTCCAGCACTCCCGCGGGACCCGCGCCTTCCGAGACCTGGGTTCCCCAGGTGTAGCGCTTTGAGCGAGCGAATGGTCTTGAGCTGGCGGCTTGGTCCCACTACCTGAAGAGCCGTTCTTGTTACAAGAACTTTCAGGACTTTTTAGAAAAAGTCCAGGCCCCATCATCATCCAGTGTTACAGGGAGTAGGATATACTCAAACTATCAATTATAAATAATATGTGTTGACCATCCAAAGAAGACTATGGCACCATGCCGTGCAAAGGATTGGTCCAATTGGTGACCATGCACCACCCACCTTTTTGAGTGAGAATTGACGAACTGAAATGAACAAAGAAAGGCTCGGCAAGAAGGAAGCCACTGAAGGAAGCCATCTCTCGCTGGGAGTGAGCGTGACATAGTGGTTCAATCCACCTCGTGACCCGTGAATGCAAGGAACGGGTATATGTAGGTATCGACCAAACGAGAACTCAGATTGACCATTTCTGACTGGTGCTAATGAGGGAATGAGGGAATGACCGACTGTAGATACCTTAGGAACCAGCCTCGCCCAACCCTAAACCCAACTCTACGGACCGGACCTCCCTTCGGCACCGGTGCAAGGCCAGGAGAAACGGGGCCGGTGCAGGAAAACCTGAGTGGTAAATTGGTGGTTCCCATTTGGGCTCCTGGCCCACCTCCTGAGAAGATGGTTCGGGTGGGTTTTGGGGGGGTCTAACCACCTTCTGAGGATATGGTTGGAGCTCTAGGGGTTGAACCGTCCATTCATACCAAAACCAATCTCTCTATGGATACACTGCCACCCCCTCCTGAGAGGGTGAGCAGGGAGTTCTCCCACTAAAGGTGCCAGGAGGCTCCAGTCGTACCTGCTGATAAGCTATGTGGATCCCCAAAAAGAATATACCAGGATGTACCAGGATGACCTATACTGGCTGATACTAGCCAGCTGCAACCAAAATGCTATATGCATGTTTAAAAAAAAGGACCACCCCCAAACCCATGGGTTGTGGACTGTGGACTACAGTATGTCCCTCTACTACCCACCAGGTCTCCTGAGGACCTTCATGCACGACATCATGAGAACCTCCAGCATGACCCCCCCCGTCTTGCGTCTCGAGTCTCGCATCTCGGTCGGGGCTGTTCTCGCGAGTAGGCAGGTGGTCAGACCCCCCTCACACCCACCCCAACCTCACACCCGGGAAGAGACCCACCTGCAGTGTGCACCTCAAATGTTCTGAACCTTTAAACATGGCATGGCTTCCATACCTGGATGTTTTCTGCCTTTTTCGTAGAAAGGCAGATTTTAAGCAAAAGGCAGATATTAAAGCCCGTTAGAGGATCTAGGTATATGTGCCATAAGTTCGCTTTTTCCAGGGTGTACTTCTGAGGAATGTGGGACACAGCCGGCACGTCGTCAACGACGTCACCGAGGCTCCCGAGCATCGGCATTCGCCTTCATGAGCCTTTGCCGGCAGCCGCCATGGTGGAGGTCCTCCCCTTAGAGTTCCTTTGCCCAGACACGACTCATGGGGCTGCCATAGATGCCAATCAATTGACCG